ATCCTGTCCTCAAGATTGCCGACCCGTCTCTTCCTTTCATTGTTACGACTGACGCAAGTCAGTATGGTGTTGGCGCTGTCTTACAGCAAGACGACGGCAAGGGCTACCGCCCTATTGAGTTTATGTCTAAACGACTGCCGTGCGACAAACTCGCCAACTCCACCTACGAAAGGGAGTTATATGCATTAGTCTGTGCCCTAGAAACGTGGAAACACTATCTCCTTGGCAGACACTTCACTGTGTACTCAGACCATTCGACTCTAAAGTGGATCACGACTCAACCTCGATTGTTTGACAAGTTGGTGCGTTGGTCTGCTTTTATTGATACCTTTGATTTCGAACTCGAAACAATTAAAGGTAAGTCTAGTGTTGTAGCAGACGCACTATCTAGGAGGAGTGACTTCTTTGGAGCTATCGTCTCTTACCTGGATGTTGGGAATGATGTGAAAACTCAGATTCGCGCTGGGTATGCCACTGACCCTGTCTGGAAACTAATCATGGATATCCTAGCCAAGGATCCATCCCAACTTCCTCACTACCGATTGTCTGATGGCTTACTCTTCTTGTTGGACAAAACTGAACAGAGATTATGCATTCCTCACAAGGAAGAACTTAAAAGTCTACTGATTGGGGAATGTCATGACACAGAGGGACACTTTGGTTTCAAGAAGACGTATACTGAAGTACGTGAGCACTATGAATGGAAGGGTTTGAAAGAGGATGTGCTAACATATGTTCGTACATGCCAAGTATGTCAAAGAAACAAACCGTCTACTGAGAAACCTTTGGGGTTACTCCGACCACTACCTATACCGAGTGAGCCAGGTGAGTCTGTATCCATTGACTTTATGAAACTCACCAAGTCCCGAAATGGCAATACTCAAGTTATGGTTGTGGTTGATCGTTTCTCTAAATATGCTATGTTCATACCTTTGCCTGCGGAAGCCAAGACTGAGCTTGTGATTGCTAAATTTCAGATACGATGGGTAACTGAATATGGGTTCCCTATGTCTATCGTCTCTGACGGCGATGTCAGATTCACAAGCATGCCTTGGCAGAAATTGATGGAAGCCTACGGTACACGACTCACCATGTCGTTAGGTAGACACCCTGAAACGAATGGCCAGTCTGAGCAAATGAACCGTATGGTCCAACAACTTTTGAGAATGTATGTCCGTCCTGACCAAATAGACTGGGATGAGAACTTACCCAAGATTGTCGGTGCATATAACAATAGTGTGCATATCGCGACGGGACGCACACCTAACGCACTGCACAAGGGCTGGAAGCCTAAGCGTCCCATTGATGTTTTAACCAGCGATCAATTTATTAGACTTCCACCAGGGACAAAGGAATATGCCATTATGTTTCAAGAAGACATAAAAAAGGTGAAAGAGAATCTGAGGAAAACCCAAGAGAGCATGATTGAACAAGCTAACAAACACCAACGCCCGTCTACTTTTCAAGTCGGTGACTTGGTCTGGGTTAAGTCCAAAGAATTCACTCTAGAAGAGGATGTTTCTCAGAAACTGATGCCTGTCTATCTAGGACCCTGGGAAGTTCTCAAGGTGATAGGGGATGTCGATGGACCATCATACCGGATTGACATTCCCCCTCATCTTCGGACATACCCCGTCTTTCACGCGTCTAAACTCCTTCCATATGTAGAAGGAACATAATTTCCTCACCGACCATCTGCCATACCTCCTTCTATGAATGGCAGCTATGTGGTTGAGAAAATTATTGACAATGGATTATTTTCTACTGGTGGAAGAGGCAGACCTCAGAAGCAGTATAAAGTAAGATTCCAGTTCCAAGATGCCTCTGAAGACCGTTGGTTTAGCAAACGAGAACTGATGGATGCTGCTCCTGATATTGTTGCTAGCTATGAACGAGGACTGAAGTCTTAAGTATTTCTGCGGTGGAACTCGAATTCGGGCCAGCAGGAATGCAGTAAACCGCGTTCAGCAGCGGCCTGGGCGCTGTAACCCAAGCCCAGGCCCAGCGAGCAGTGCGACCACGCGCTGCTCGGCCTCAGGCCGCTGCGGGTGACTGTGTGACCGCGCACAGCAAGAAATTCAAAGGTCAAAGTGAACTGTAGGTCCAGGAACCTCGCCCAGGCCCTTGGTCGTGTGCATCGACTTGTATGAGTGCNAAGGACCAGGAGAAAGGATGGGCGAGCGTAAGGGGGGGTCGGCAAGAGAAGCGCCATGCGCGACCGTCGGACCCGCGGCAGAGGGCGGAGGAGGGCGGAAGAGGCGGCGCAACCTTAGGCGGTGGGGGGGGAGGTGCGGGCGGAGAAGGGGTGTGATAAGGAGGAGGAGGAGGACGCCGCGTAGAGTCGTCGACGTCGAGATGGGGAATTGACAACCAGGGGCGAGGTCCCACTACCAAAGAGACTGGGATCGAAAACCTAAATCTAGACGCCTCCGCTGCAAAGATGCAGAAAATCGAGATTGAACTGCTTTTTTTCAGCATCTCTTCTCCAAACACGTCCAGATTCAGGAGCTTAATCGGATCCTCTTTGCTACCGGTAGTGGGACCTGGCGCCAAGTAGGACGAGGCGGCGGCACAGACACAACTTCTAAATGGGAGGACAAGAGAAGGTGAGGGAGAAGGAGGTGGTTTTCGAAGGGAGAACACCTACCTACCTGTCCCTCGGCTTGCCACGATGCCAATAGTAGAATCGCCCTTGCTGTCCTCGTCGTCACACCATACCCAAGGTCCGTAGCTAGACCTTTTGGTCTCTCACCCTCTCTCCCACTCTCGCTCTCTTTCTTCCTCTTCACACACTTTTTTGTCCAGACACAACTCTCCCTCCCCTCTTGCTCCGAGCTGGGCACTGTCTCCCTTCCTCTCCCTTCCTCGCACACCGCGCTGCGTTCCTTTCGTGGTGTGCTCCAATCAAGCAACGGGCATTACCGCTGCCATCGCCGCCGCCGCCGTGTACTGCTTCCCTCCGCCCATGCCGCTCCTCCTCCTCCTCCTTCTCCTCCTCCTCCTCCTCCTCCTTCTCCTCCTCCCTCTCACTCCTACTCCTCCCTGACACCTGCCTCCCTCTGTGGCCCCCCCCTTGCACTGCCACGCTCCTGGCAAGGGATGCGAAGGGTGGAGGTCTGTGAGCGGAGCGACTCCCCCCACCCACCCGACAAGTCGGAGGGAATTGGGCTCTGGGGTCACACCACTACCAGTAGTGCTTTCTCAAGGGAATCTGGCTCGTTTTCCGGTCTCGTACGTCCCTGAAAATACCAATCTCGGCGCCAAACCCCCCTTTCCCCCCCCCCCCCCCTCCTCTTTCTTCGCTCGCTAAAACCTACTGAGGGCGAGGTCGCACTCGCAAAGAGGATTGGATTAAGCTCCCGAATGTGGACGTGTTTTGAGAAAGGATGCAGAAAAGCAGTTCAATCTAGATTTTGTGCATTTTTCCTGTATACGTCTACATTCAGGATTCAATCCAACTCTCTCTTTGGTAGTGGGACCTCCAGTAGCCGTGACTCTCGCGAAAGCCTGTGAACCGTCGCCCAATCGGATCTCCACACCGCTAGCAGCATGGAGGTCGCGCTATCCGAAATCCGAAATCCAAAATCCAAAATCCAAAATCCACCAACGGGGCAGGCACGCCACACAGGCTGTCGAAAGCTATGTTCTTCTCTCAATTTCACCTCACACCACCCACCTACCACTACTCCTAACCTAATTGTAGGCATACGGGGAACCCCGTAGCAGCAGCCAGAACCGTGTTCACGAGAGAACATGCGGGGGCTGCTCCCGACCTGCAGGTGGGCGATACCGGCTAGGGGAAGGGGACAGCCGGTAGGTAGCATCAGGGACCATGCCAACAGGACCAATCCCTGTGCCTCCCCTCAGGTGGTGGTCCCCTCCCCTAAGAACATCAGCAGACTCTGCTCAATGCCTATAGGGTTGCATGACCACAAAGACTTTCGAATCGGGAAAAAAAAATAAATCGAAAAATTGCCGCCCGAGTGGCATTGAGCAGAGTGCTGATGTTCATAGGGAGAGACTGGTGATGTTCATAGGGGTAGGGGACCGGAGGCGAAGCACAGGGACTGGCCTATGGGCGAAGCAGGGTCCTGATGATGCTACCAGCTGACCCCTGGCCGGTATGGCCCACCTGCTGTAGCAGGCATAGCACCTGTGGTGGAGGGATACAGACAGAAACCAGGGGAAGGAGTTGGTGGTTGCTGCTGGCTTGGGGTTGAGCTGCGCAAAGGGAAAAAATCCATTCCTTCTACAAACAGGGATAAACCCACAAGCAGAAGAGAGGAGCGGACTAGAGTCCCCCTCCAAAAAAGCCAAAAGAAAGACACCTCTGGGATAGGTACATCCATGAATCCAGCTTGGGACTCCCAAAACACCGGGGATCGTTCTTTGAGGAAGGAACTGTCGTCGGCAGGCCCAATGAGAACAATAACGAGAGCAATAAAAGACAGTGGACCTGCCAAGGGAGTCCTAACCTCTGTGATCTGCTCAGACACAGTAAATGGAATCATGGTGGTGTTCATACAAGTAATGCAGAATGAGGTGCTCGACCTGCCAGCCATTCCCATTGCTACCGACCCCTCTGAAGAGGAGGTTGTGACGCCCAACCTCACGCCCAGCGCGACTTCCTGATCGGAGTGGGATATGGGCCTGGAAGTGCGAAAAGGGGTGTGCCAAGGATTTTTGGGAAAGCGGGGGTGGAGTCCCAGGTCGGAACTGAGATCTCCTGTGGCAAAGTTCTAGGGGCACGGGTGCAATAAGGCTAGGGGCGGGCTGCGGCCATCGGTGTGCCTGGTGCACCCAGGGCCGTCTGGTCCGTTCGGTAACGGCGGTTCGGGAGGGGCTCGGGGTGCGATCCCTGGAGGTCGGACCGTCGGGTACCGCCACGTGGCGCCTGTCGCCGCGTGTTGTGGTTAGGCGTCCCTGTCCCAGGGGCTCGGTGGTGGTTGCGCCGTCTACAGTTTCTGCACGGCGTACGGGGCCAATACTGGGCGATGGAATTCCACGGTACCACCGTAAGTTGGTGGTACGGGAGGAGGAGACGGAAGGGAGGGAAATTAGTAGTGATGACAACGAAGCCGGGAGATATGAAGTACTGCGTATTGTACGTTGTAGGGTAATCGGGGCACCGTGGGTCACTAGTGACAGCACAGTGAAACTCCCGGGGGCACAATCGATTTTCGGTTAGGCAGGGAAACTCCGGGCGTCTCTGTCTAAGACACTCTCTCACCTAGGGGTCGAAATACTCCGAATCCCATAATGAATCTGAGTCCCTCGAGTTCGTCATATTGTCATTGTGAAGCTGCGGAATTCCTTAGTGCGTGTTTACCCGGTTGGGGGATTTCCGGGCTCGGTGTTCAGAGATTTCGTGCCTGTCCTAACGTTTGACGATTACGAATCACCGCGTGTGAGTATGGGTAGGCCGCGCGGATTGGATCGCGTTTACACGTGTTCATACGGGATGGTTGCTTCGTTGCAGATGCAAAACGACCACTGAATACATCCAATCATTCAATATCCCCGCAATCGTTGACACATACATCAAGGCCTTACAATCAGCATTAACTACCTTGTCTAGCATGAGCAAAAACGGAAAGAGAAGCGACAATCACCCCATTCACTTCACGCAATGCAACATTCATTCATACAATCAGAATATTCGAAATATGGGAGATTCCCAGCAGATTACGAGCACTCATGTGTTAAGATACGGATGTCGAAAGCAAAAAGATGGGCGAATCGCCTGAAACAGAAATCCAAGCAAAAGAAAAGATTCGCTCGTGAGCCGACCCTCACTGATCGCGCTACCCCGAGCTTCCAACATTTGGTTAAGAGAGCTATCTAATCGCGCAACCAAAATTTATAGCGTGCATGCATGCGCGAAGAACACGGAATTACAAGGACTTAGAAAGAGGATTAGGGGAGGGAACACCTATGTTCTGCATGACCAGACTGCAGCGTGGGGGACGTAGCCACTCTCCACGCATCGATCCAATAATGCAGGCCGCGGGCTAACTAGACGCAGTGAAAAGGAGAGAGAGGGCGGGAAAGACGAAGCTCAAGAAGAAAGATACAGTTGCAATGGCGCCCGCCCAAAATGATAGGTACTCGCAAGATTAAGGGCGCCTACTAATCAGAGCTCCGTTGTAGCCGCAAAAAGAAGCGCGCAAGAAAGACAGCACGCGGCAAGAGAAATCCCAAATTCCTATATTCCTAAATTCCTAGCTAATGTAAAAAGAGCTTTTAATAAAACGCAAATTCCGAAAGAGTCCGAAATTCCTAGAGCCGCCAGGGTCCGACAAGATTCAAAAGGAAATTAAAAAAGAACGAAGCAAAATTCTCGCGCGATCTCCACGCCTAAAATCCGACAACAGAACAGAAAAGAAGCGACGTCAATCATTATTGTCCGCGCCTGGTCGGCGCGACTGCCACTCAATCAATCATCCCCGGGACCTGCCCGACCCTGAACCCAGTCGTCGAAAAGAAGCGGCGCAAAAAGACGAAGAAGCGAGGACACCGATGCAATTTCCCTTCAATCCCGATCTCCTGAAATTGGCCCAACCTTCCCTGCTTAGGACCCCTCATTGTTAGAAATTAGTTTGTCACAAGGTGATAGATCTCACGAAAAGGCATGTACTCAACGACATTGGAACAGTGGCTCGCATCCCAACTATAAAAATGAACAGGCATCTATCTATTATGAGTGAAAAACCAACGATGATCTTTCATTTTGTAGTGCTGAAATTGAGATCAATAAACGATTCATTTGACAAATGGTGTGATCTGCGGGTCCACTGGATCCCATTACAGGACTTCTTGGTCAATAACGCAAATGTTGTGGCATCTCTGCACCTACCTGAGGGAAGATCGGGTTCAGTTGTCACAGAGTGGATAAAACACCAAAACATCCAAGACTACTTAAAGGAAGATACCCGCAAGATGGTTGCCGACAGTAAAAGCTGGAGGGGGAAACCTAAAGGAGCTTGGTAAAGGCAAAATGGGGTTGAACCGAAGCTTCCACTCCAACAGTGGCCGTATCCAACAAGACGGCGGGATGAGGCCTGATGGTCCAACCGCCTAAACTGCGGATAGCAACATGGAATATATGTGGTTTGGGTGACACAAACAAAAAATATAAACGTGCCAGATTAAGAAAATGGATGCATTCGACAAACGTACAAATTATGGGCCTGCAAGAAACCAAGCTTAATGATAGGAAGATTAGGAAAATATTACCCTGGTGGGATGGCCCACAGGTGTGGGCACCATCAGATGGGTCCTGCAGAGGGGTAGCCATTCTCATAGATAAGAATATGGAGGTTACCCCCTTAGATTTATACGCGGACCCAGGAGGCCGTATCGCTTGGATAAAATTCCTTTATCAAAATGAAGAGTGGACAGTCATGTCAGTTTATGCCCCGGTGGAGTTACACCTGTGTGCGGACTTCCTGGCGGAATTCCCGAGGTTCATATCGAACACAAAAAACTTACTGATCTTGGGAGACTGGAACACTGCAGCGGGCCTCTATCTGCCCTGGCCTACAGCCAGGGCCTATTCGGCTATTTGCCTGTTCGGCCTGTGGGACGAGGCCGTGGCCTGACCCCACAAGCTGTGTGCTGTTTCAGTCCAGTCCAGTCCTGCCCGGTACCACCGTCGGTACCAGGCCAGTCCACTCCAGTCCAGTCAGTCCGCTGGGGTATACCCCAGCTGGAGTCTGTATTCTGATTCATTTTGCATTTACACAGTTTGGAGTACGTGTGTGTTGAGTCTGCGTCGGAGCTGCGCTGTCCCTTCCAGCTCCATCTCCATCTCCTTCCTCAACCCTCCGTGTTGATCCTGACGGACCGCCATCCCGGCGGGTCCGTCACACTGGTATCAGAGCGGGAACGGTCCCCGCTCCGACCCTCCCTCCCTCCCGTAACAGAGGGAAATTGCTATAGTCCCGATAGCGGGATTTAGAGACCGCCACACGCGCGCGCACCACACGCCCCGCCCCGCCACGCTCCCGGATTATATATCATAAAGGTCCGAGATGCTGCTGCTGCCAAGGTTTGAATCTGGGCAGCTGCCACTCATGCGCGTGCGTGGCCAGTGCTTTAACACACTGGCCAAAGCCACAATCTAAGCTGATACTGTGGCTTGCTGGTGTTGAAGAAGTGCCATGGCAGCTATTTACCTCCCCCCCGTCGGCGAGTGGGGAGCAGCGTGTGGCAAGACAACCATTTGCCCCCCTCTCCCCCCCCCCCCCCCCAACCCCCGGTGGTCTGGGTGGTGCCGCCTGCCCACGTGGCTGGTATCTGGTGCCTATCTGCAGTGCCACGTGGCAGCTTGTTGTGGATCTTGAAGATCCCCCTGGCTAGGGGGCTGCACTACAGTGACATCTGGGTGTCTGATCAAGATCTCAACCCACCCCATATTTTTCTTTAATTGCAGTGACATCAGGCCAGCAGCATCTTGAAGGCCAAGATCCTGTGGATCTTGGTAGTGCTCTGCTCTTGGCCACCCAAGAGCTTGGTATCACCATCCTACCCACTAACCTACTCTCCCCCAACCCCTTTTCTCTCCCCCCCATCATCTAATCATCTTTTCTAACCCTACCACTACTCCCTCCTCCTGCCTCGCTCTTCACTCACCTTCCACAACCTTTTTTCTCTCTAGGACCTCTCCTCCCCACTCATCAT